TTTATGAACCCCAAATTCTTCCAAAAAGTTACTATTCAAGAATACATTTTTACTCAAAATTTGATTTTTAACAAAGGCTATAATTAAAAGGTTTGAATGGATTATGCTTTAAAGGGTTGATGGTAGATTTATTATATTTTGCAAAGGTTGGGATGAAAAGTGCAAATTTCTCTTCTATTTTAGTCACTGTTTGATTCTCATTATTGTAGAATGAGAATGAAAAATATAGTTGTTATTGGGCCCCACACAAGAGATAGAAATTCAAAATTGATGGCTTGATGTGATGGATAACAGTCATATTTTTCCTTTTAATGAGATAAAAAGGTGGCCCAAACGGGGGCTTAGTATATTGTTATATGTGTCCGTTTCTTGTATACATCAAACTGGTAAACCGAAAGTATGGATTTTACCTTTAAATGTGTTAAAATGCCAGCCAGAAGAAAAGCAACGTTCCTACTGATTTAATCAGTCACACCTCAAGGAGCTTATGACCGATATTGTGGGGTCCACGTCGTAATTGATCACAATTAATTGTGGACTGTGAGCTCTACTAACACCTAAACTATAGTTGAATACCACTGTTGATAGATAGGATTAGTCTGCCAAGATCTATCACGAACTGTAATACCATGAAGTTGCTGTTTTAGATAAAAAACTTGAGATGGACAAAAGGGAAAAGGAAAATCTTCAGTGACATATTGATCAATAAAGACACTAGCCTCTATTACCTTGTCAAGCATGGGGGGACCAAAACAAAAGGTTTATTTCTGCATCTTATAATTTCTAACTAAACAACGTATGGAATTGCTTTTATGCACCCAGATCTTTATTTCTCAGGAAATCCACATTTTACAGATAAACAGTCGGTTTCTGTATTATGTATGTTAATTATTGAAATGGACAAACTTTAAGAGGAACTCACAAGGGACAAAAGCATAAGAAATTAAAAAACGTCGCTGGATGGGAGGTTATTCGGCAAAAACACTACAGACACGGTACGTTCGCAAAAGAGCGAGTGCTGACCATGAGTTTGTCCAAGTTGTGAGTTATATCTTTGGTAGAATAGTGCAATCTTCCTTGGGGACATCAGCACTTTCCTGCAAAGAACAATGAAGTTTGTGTAAGAAATGCTAAACTTCGAAACATAATATATGTAATCTCTGTAATAGTTTGTCATGATAAGCGAGCTTTCCGTCTTAATAAATTGTGCATATCTCATTGAAAGAGGCATAAGGATTTTTAGCAGATAAATGCATGTCCACTGAAAGAGGCTGTCTTCCATTACCTCTAGATATCTTTTTAACGTTGTTGTAGTACTGAAATTGAAGCCTTCAATTGGTTCACCTTTCTTACGAGATGCATGAAGTTGCTTTCTAACTTGAGTAGCCAGTGACTGCAATTTATTTATATTTAGAGATCCAAAAAGAAATAAAAAATCATCCAGATACAACAAATTAACAACATATAGCAAAATAAAGGAAAATAGAAACAGAAAAATTATTTCCGCTAGATATACCTTCCCCAATTCCACTCCCCACTGATCAAAAGAATTGATACCCCATAAAAAGCCTTCCACAGCAATTCTGTGTTCATAAATTGCCAGTAACTGAAAGCAGAATATAAAATTTGAAGATTAGGCACATTTACAGACATTCTATCTCTGAGCAAGATTACATTACTGTTGCAGTGTAATACCAAGACATAAGTGGAATGCCCAAAATAATATAAGGCCCCGTTTGAGCCACATTATTTTTTTCATTCTCAATTTTCTACTCATTTTTAACCATACATTATTCAATAAAATAGTATTTTCCATCACATCAATAACTTTCCTTCTTTTTCAACCACACATTCCACATCACATCAACAATAAAAATGTATTCTTTTTTAAAAAATGTGCACCAAACGAGGGCTAAATAAATCATACTAAGAAGAAAAATATAAGGTGTTGAGGATATTATTTAGTTCGACTTTTATCATACATGATTCAAAAGATGTCAGTTTGAAATTTGCAACCATTTACATATTAGTTTCACAATATTAAAACATAGAGAACATTCTCAAAAACTTGAAAGAAGTATACTGTACTGTGCAAAAGAACAAACTCAATAACAAACCTGTCCAATGTTGTAAGCATTCAACGTAGGCAGTAGAAGGCTGAGAGAAGGTCGATTTCCAGAGAAAGTCTGCAACAGCGAGTACAATTGTGAGTCTAAACATCAAACTGTAACAAAAAGCTACGGCTTATAAAAACTGCAATGAAACCACCTTATGTGGAATAAGAGGCTGAGGAACATTTTCTTTTAGCAGCTGTTCTGCAGTCTGGAAGAAAATGAAGCACAATTCGAATAATGATAATGAGAAGCTTAAAAAATATGAAGATACAAAATTTGGCAAAAATAAGTTAAGCCCATGTTTGACACCCATTCTCATTCTCATTTTTTTCTCTTTCTTCATTTCAACCACACATTTTTCAAATAAAATAATATTACACACAATTCTAAAATTTTTCATCCCATCACACATTCTCTCATCAATCACTATTCCAAAAATTTTATTCTCATTTTAATGAGATTCAAACACAAGCTAAATTTGTAAAGCTACATTTAATTTTCCTTATGTCCATTTCTAATATTAATAGAAAATGAGGCAATAATTATAGATAAAAGCTTCTATGTATATACATCTTAGTGCGTTATTAAAATAAAACTAAATATAGATTACCTTGAAATGAAAATAGAAATAAATTCAACAAATTAATAATTTACTATGCCCTCTTTTTTAGAAATCAATTTTGATGTTTTTTTTCTTTGCATCGTCTTGAACCTTTAAACAATGAAATGTACAAGTAATTGATCCTACATCGGAAATGGCATGTAAAAGCATGGTCTATAAAGTCAGTGGTGAACCAGCATGTCATTGAACAGCACAGTTTAAAGTTAATAGGCCAACAACTAGACTCTTAGCTTTCACTCTTTAAGCCCAATATACAGTATTCAAATTTGATCTTTGAAAAAAGAACAGCCCATTGATATCATTAAAATCGGCAGCACGGGTCACGGTTTAACAGGCTTCTTAGCTGGTTTTAGACCAGTTAGTGAGTACAATGGTTTTAGGTCATAACTGAACTGGTTCCTGGTTTTTCCGGTTTGGTCCTATCCTGTTTTGAAAACAAAGATAGATATAACCCAGAGAAAGGATTTGAACAATACAACATAAAAAATTCCAACCTTCCCATAAGCGAGGGCATCTGGCTGTGCAAAGAAGTTCGACATTAGTTCATCATGGTTACTAACCATTTCACCTGCAAAAGCAAGTTGCCTAAATGTTACCAACCTTCAATTATCTTGATGTTGTAAACATAACTTTTGTGCCAAGAGCAAGGAGATATATGAAAAGAAATAAGTACCCTTCAGGTAAACCGGTTGCTGACTCTTAACCACACCAATAAAATCACAAGGTATGACACGTCCCTGAAAGTTCAGCAGATAGACAAGGTTGCAGCAGATGAAAACTTCACGGTTCATTTTCATAATGATGCATGGCAATAATAGGTTCACAAAATTCAGAAATAACTAATAAGTGTAGGCACCCTGATTTATTCTGAAATGGAGACCAACAAATAGAACCTCTTGAACATTCCTAGACATCTTATGTGTCCTAAGTATCCCGATTCATTTATGGATAGTCAAAGCACATATGCTCAGATGTTAGAATTTAAGCTTGGAATTTGCACAACTATTTAACACTAGCAAAAGCATATACCCATAATATGATATGTTACATGTTCAAAAATTACCAGAAAGGTAATATCAAGGAGATGAGGTTCTATGAGAGGGACATAAAAGCGCGATAGACATCATCATACTTGTGCATTATTAAATAGTAAATACAAAAGCTGGGTTTTCAATCAGGATTTAAATACATAGAATAGTTTCCATTGTACTTAATTTTAGAGCACATTCAGATCAAATACTCCTATCATACTCATAGGACACTTTTGATATTCTGATTTTGGTGCTCTCACCGCATGCTGTATATGTCAGAAAAGTTATTAGTTACATTTACAAAATATGTAAACTTTTCAAGCCTAAGACACCACAATTTTCATAGCCTCGGTCAATGAACTGTACTTCAACGGGCACAATGGCCACAGAAAACTAGCACGTGCAGAAGGGGATGGTCATGGTCCCCAAATTTTTGTACTTAGTTCCAGCAAGAAAGAGTTGTACACAATTAGCCAGAAGATCATGTAAAACAGCATATATCCCCCATGTATTTCTAAGTTCCTTAATTTTCTTGGTGGAATTTGGTGAAACAATATATAATGACAAATACAAAAGCACGGTGCAGGAAACTTCCCCTTTCTGCTCAAGCTGAAGTTATTGCATGCTTAAATGGCTCAATCATTTACCTGGTGAATTAATTGGTAAAAGCTGTGTTGACCATTTGTTCCTGGTTCACCAAAATCAATTTCCCCTGTCTCATAGGGAAGAGGCACGCCATCGATTGATACCCCTTTTCCATTACTCTCCATACTAACCTGAATTAAATAATATTAGGATGGCATAAGCATCCTACCAAAAAAGCATCCAGAAAGATGTGCAAGCAACATTATTAAAAAAGAAAAAAGAAACGCCCAGGGTAAACATGCCTGCTGAATATGGGGTGCAAATTTCTCCAGTGCTTGAGAATAAGGTAAAATGGCCTGAAATAAAGTAATGGCTAATTGTTATGGTTCAACCAGTAAAAAATTCAACGAAGGAACCTCAAAAAGGGGATATTCAAACAGACTTCACCATATATTTAACTTACTCTTGCAGGATATCCGAGGAACGATACGTTCCAAACACTCAACAAACCTAATAGCACCTGAAGAAATAATATGCAAGTCAGCAGTAGAATGAGTTATCTAAGAACACATATGAGGCAAAATCAATTCATAGAAAATGAAAACATGGAATCAAGGATTGCCAAGGTCCACAAGATCATAAAACACAATAAAATATAAAACAATAGGAAGAAAGAAGAAAACCGTAATGTATTTTGGCCATACATGGAGACCAAAAGATAGATAATGCCTCTAAGCTGGGATCTCTCTTATCCTAGCTTAGATGTTACATCATTAGATCCCTAACAGAAGGCTATCCAATTGCACATCCAACAAGCAGCGCATTAAAGCAGCAAGAAGAAAGGGTATTCTGAGAAGGGAACATACTGGTAAATTCTTCTCAAAAGGTGCTGAATAGAAATGTTGATCAATACTTGAAGCGCCCTTTAGGAACCTTCACATAAAGGGGAAAAAAACGAAACATGTCAGTAGCTATTGGCCCAAACAAATGAATTGTGAAAAACATGTTTAAAGTAGTAGTCATATTGTTGTAGTCGACTAGACTTATTTATGTTTAATTGTATGCTTATATGTAGGAGAGAATCATGTGTGCTCAATTGTGGGAAAATTATGTCAGCTTAATTGTAGGAGGAAATTTTGTTAACTTTGTGTATAATGTATATATATATATATCAGCTTCTTAGTTATGTTCATAATGGTATGAAATAAAATCCAGAAATTTTCACAAAAACAAAATACACAAAATCAACAAGGGAAATGAAAAATGTAACTGTGCAAAACTGAACATGCTAAAGGAAAATAATAATCAGAAAGCATCCCGAGAATGTAAGTAGCTCTACTTACTGAGCTCCCACAACCTTGTTTTAATACTAAGCCCACCAAATAATAATAATAATAAAAATCTTTAATAAAATACTAAGCTCCGATATTATTGCGAATAAGGCTTGGTTTCTTATCATCATAAACTCACGTATATAAAATTTCCTAATATTAGTAGAGTTACCTTCATTAAGCAAAAGTATAATGTGTAATGATAACTTGCACAAATCACTAGCCTAGTGGCGACCTAAAAAACCATCAAATTTATCTTAAACTTAATGTCATGCAACAGACTATTAATCTCATTGCAACCAAAAAATTACTTTTTAATTCATCTTGGACTTACTGTTATCCACTGGAAAATTAAGCACTTTTTAAACAAATAATCAAGTCATACGAAATTTCACTTTATGCATATTCACCAGAATATCTAGTAAGTCAAGTCAAATAGATCTGCTAATTGAATCCATAAAATCTTCCATAAATGAGTGATTTAAACAAAGAAAACAGAATGCTACTGTACTTCTCCACGACCGAAAACCCATATTGCAGAGAAAGAGGCAGTACTCCAACAGCACTGCAAACTGCAAACGGCGATTTGGAGACCAATTAGACATCATTTTATAGCAGGCTTTATGCGAAAAACCAAAGATACTTACCACTATAGCGGCCTCCCACCCAGTCCCAGAATGCAAAAGCATTATTTGGATCAATGCCAAACTTCTCCACAAGCTGCATTAAAATAGGAGATGATTATTAAGTTGATGAATTTAAGAGGTGGTACACTGATTAGTAGGTAAAGAGAAAATACAATTTATTTAATCTACTGCATCTGTTTGTGTGTGTGCATACTTTGTAACAACTATTACTACCCATCATGTTTGAAAACACAGAATTCAAACTCATCTTGGCAAGTAATTGAGTAGAGGACACTCGATAAACTTTTGGAAGTATTAACCAGTCATATTATCAAAACTTTGATGTAACATCTAAATTCAAATGTATAACGTATTAATAAATATGAAAATGAAAATGATGTCATGTCATAACTTACTGAATGTGGAACTTACTATTACATGTGTACAGTAAACCAATAATGCAAATAGAGAAAGAGAGACCTCAATTGAAAAGAAAAACAAAAATAACGAAGAGATAGAAAAAGAAAGATAATTACGAAACAAGTTAATCTATACTTAAATTCTCTTCCTTGTTCTCTTGAAGGCCGAAGCCAAAGAGAAGGTAAATAATTTGAGTTTTCAGTCCCCAGTGGCTTCTAAAGTGATCCAACATAGCCTATCAATCTCTAACTGTTACTTGCACAAACTCTGGGTTCATCTCACGGCAGTAAAAGTTTGCGATTACTCATTTGATGAAACAAGAAGAAGTCAATTAGCCAAGCCGGTTCCAACCAAAACTCTACCCTCATCATTCACCACTTACAACACAAAAAGAGCAGCACAATCATTCAGAAAGCAATTTGAACTGAATGTTAAATAACTCATATACAGGAGACTTTTTAAAAGTTAGATTAACACAAGAAATTATCAAAACAATGAAAAGGAAGAAGCAAAGTGAAAATAAAAGATAATAACTGCACCGTGAGATTAGTACTGACAGCAACCATATGCTTTGCCACCGCTTGAGGCCTAAAATTGTGCCAAAAGTGAGATGTATAGATGAATAGATAGAAAATTGTAGATAGTATCAGAAATGATCAGATTTTAGAAGGATCCCAAATTTGAAACTATACTAGCAAGTAACAAATAGTTATATTATATCAAGTCAAATAACAGAGAAACTCTTATGAGTAAGCAGTAAGTACTTATTTCCATGAATCACGAGCATGTATCAATACATTCTAAAGGAGGGCCCATAATCATCTCGCCTCTTCCCACCCACCTCATTGGGAAAGTTTTGGATACGTCCCAAAGGTTCAAATATATAGATCTTATTTATAGCAAAAAAGTTGGGGAGAACTAAAAGTAAGAAAGTCTCGATAATGTAGTCTACAATCTTAAAAATAATCAAGCTCAAAACTCGTAGACAGAGTAGTCTCACGTGTTAGATGCAAGATGCATGGGAAAGGAAATGGTGAACATGAAATGACATGATATAAAAACATCATTTGGCAAATAAGGACATGAAGTTCCTAAAAAATAATTTCATGTTAATAATAATTATCTGAACGTTCAACTTAAGAAAAGTTGCATAGCATGGATTGAATATTGAAGGTACCATAAAATGGTCGAATTAAAATTTTTGATTTGATATTTTTGCAGTGATGAAATTCCTACACGGTAAACAAGTAAATGTTGGACAATAAAATAAGGTTCATTTCAAATGCACACAGAATATAGTTTCCAGTTGTGGGGGCACAACGTATGATATACCTGTTAGGTGTGGAAGAGTAATTTCATAAAATAAAAAAAAGGCGAATAGACTATTCTCATTATTTACTCACCCCAAGGCAGCTGATATCCATTCCCTCAGTGTCCTAGCATTTAACATGGTCTCAGCTGTAGTGAAAGTTTTTGAAACCACAACAACTGCAATAGATTACGGGGAAAGGAGAAAAAAATAGTTTTAAAATTCCAAGAGTTGAACAAATTTTGTCCATAAAGCCCTGACATGGCAAATACAAAACAAAATGAAAATGGAGATACCTAGAGTGGTTTCAGGATTCAAGCCTGCAATATTTCTTGCAACATCTATTGGGTCGACATTTGCAAGGCTTAAACAAGAAAATGAGGAAAAAAAGGAGCAGAATCAGCTACATAGTAGCAAATCGTTATAGTTGCATACTTCAGTGCATGGGCAAATTTCATGTGGTCCATTAATGCTTTCTCTCTAAAAAATGTGATTATCAGTTTCAGTTTTAATGCAACCCATCTACAAAGAATATAATTGGATGTTGAATCATAAATCCGAAGGTAATATACAGCAAGCTATCCAAATAGACGAAGAAAGACCAAGTACTTTGCACAAGTACCTTTCCAACATGGATGATTTATCTAAAGTTGCATTGAAACCCTACCCACCCAAGTTACCCAACACAAAGGAGAGAGAGAGAGAGAGAGAGAGAGAGAGAAAGAAAAATAAAAATGAGAGAGAACTATTATCGGAAGAAAAGAATTAGAACCCCTTCACAANCGAACGGTTCCATAATTATATTTGGACCCGACGTGTCCATTTATTAAATACCCGAAAGTTTTGGGTCGGTTCGGGTCTCTTCAGAATCGAACCAAACCGACCCACGGACAGCCCTAATCATCTTGCCTCTTCCCACCCACCTCATTGGGAAAGTTTTGGATACGTCCCAAAGGTTCAGATATATAGATCTTATTTATAGCAAAAAAGTTGGGGAGAACTAAAAGTAAGAAAGTCTCGATAATGTAGTCTACAATCTTAAAAATAATCAAGCTCAAAACTCGTAGACAGAGTAGTCTCACGTGTTAGATGCAAGATGCATGGGAAAGGAAATGGTGAACATGAAATGACATGATATAAAAACATCATTTGGCAAATAAGGACATGAAGTTCCTAAAAAATAATTTCATGTTAATAATAATTATCTGAACGTTCAACTTAAGAAAAGTTGCATAGCATGGATTGAATATTGAAGGTACCATAAAATGGTCGAATTAAAATTTTTGATTTGATATTTTTGCAGTGATGAAATTCCTACACGGTAAACAAGTAAATGTTGGACAATAAAATAAGGTTCATTTCAAATGCACACAGAATATAGTTTCCAGTTGTGGGGGCACAACGTATGATATACCTGTTAGGTGTGGAAGAGTAATTTCATAAAATAAAAAAAAGGCGAATAGACTATTCTCATTATTTACTCACCCCAAGGCAGCTGATATCCATTCCCTCAGTGTCCTAGCATTTAACATGGTCTCAGCTGTAGTGAAAGTTTTTGAAACCACAACAACTGCAATAGATTACGGGGAAAGGAGAAAAAAATAGTTTTAAAATTCCAAGAGTTGAACAAATTTTGTCCATAAAGCCCTGACATGGCAAATACAAAACAAAATGAAAATGGAGATACCTAGAGTGGTTTCAGGATTCAAGCCTGCAATATTTCTTGCAACATCTATTGGGTCGACATTTGCAAGGCTTAAACAAGAAAATGAGGAAAAAAAGGAGCAGAATCAGCTACATAGTAGCAAATCGTTATAGTTGCATACTTCAGTGCATGGGCAAATTTCATGTGGTCCATTAATGCTTTCTCTCTAAAAAATGTGATTATCAGTTTCAGTTTTAATGCAACCCATCTACAAAGAATATAATTGGATGTTGAATCATAAATCCGAAGGTAATATACAGCAAGCTATCCAAATAGACGAAGAAAGACCAAGTACTTTGCACAAGTACCTTTCCAACATGGATGATTTATCTAAAGTTGCATTGAAACCCTACCCACCCAAGTTACCCAACACAAAGGAGAGAGAGAGAGAGAGAGAGAGAGAGAGAGAGAACTATTATCGGAAGAAAAGAATTAGAACCCCTTCACAATGCACAAAGATCAACATGATGATAACCATTGCTAGAACTTCAACATTTTACTAGGTATACAAGTGCCTAAAAATATGGTTTATTAACAACTTGTTTGATACCCATTATTCTAAAATACATTTTTCTCTCTCTTATTTTCAAACACACGTTCTTCAATAAAATAATATTACACGCAAATCCAAATTTTTCCTTTTTTTAACAACATATTCTCCATCAAATCACTATTCTGAAGTGCATTCTTAGAGAATAATGTGGCTCAAACATGCCCTTAATTTTAAAAAATTTCACTTAACAGGCTTTCATATCCCTGACACGATAAACTGATAGTCCAGATTTACAACTCAAAAAAGAAAAAGAGCCACATGTCAAATGCTCTTTTGAGAAAGATTTTGGGATATCTGTACTAGCTTGAGCAATGTCCCAATTCAAATTCTGCTAAATATAGCATCAGAGGCAGGACTTCCATAAATCAAATTCAAGTTGGGTAATAAAATAAAAATACCAAATTAGGCCAGTGATGCTATAGAAATAAATGATACACTAAATCAACAGGCTATGTAGTTACACTCACAAACGCAGTTGACGACCACGTGCAAATTCAATAGCTTCTGGATCTGCACGCCATCAAATTTAAGTTAAATAAGTTACAAAATTGTTTGCAGACATATGATTAATGATAATAGAAAAAGGAAATAGCAAATCATTATAGGATTAAAATATGCTGCAATTGCATCTTATCAACCTGATTGAAGAGCCGTATGCACAAACAGAGGTCCTAAGAAACTGCCACCAATTCCTATAGCAATTACATCTTTCAACACTTTTCCAGTGGCTCCAACCTACCATTTTTTCAGACAATTTAATATAATGACATCGCAAAATTGATGAACTGATAAAGATCATATTTGATGACAGACTTACCCAGGCACCACTGCGAACCCTCTCAGAAAAATCTCGGATCTTATCTAGGACTTGCCAAACATCTGGGACCACATTTTTCCCATCACTATTTATAACTGAATCCCGTGGAGCACGGAGTGCAATGTGAAGGACAGACCTGTTTTCTGTAATATTTATCTGAAGAAACCACCAAAACAAAGGAGAAAGGGTTAGATGACAAATGCCAGAGTGACTGATGAACGAAGTTTAGCCAATTTGAAAAGATTGATCTCGTAGGAAAAGTTATTAACCAAAGAAAGCCTGAAACTTTCTTTTCATTTCCTTTTTAATTTTGTCAACAAGTTTAGAAGCCTTCAATTGGAGTGTAAACATTCTAGTTTCTGGTGGATGACATAAGTCACAATCACTCCCCAGATACCAATGATCTAAACAAGACATTGTTTTACCCAACCCATAAACTTCATAATACTCAGCAGCATAGATACAATCTACTTAACAAACATTTGGTTTGACCGGTGTGATAAAACTCAGCAAAATAAAACCTTGACTTACTCGTTCTCCATTGAACATCCGGTTAATCTTTTCTTTGAGATGAGCTCCCTGCATCACCGCACCAGTATAATTAATCAGATTTTCACACTATATTCCCCACAAAAGGTAATGGTTCAACGCTAGCTCACCTCTGCTAAACTGTGGAGCTTATTCAAGGTGTCAAGATTGGCACGTTGCCTTGAATAGTCCAACAAAATCCCATCAAATTCGCTGTACGCAATAGTAATAAAGAAAAATATTAACACAGGTAACTACATAGAGCCCAATCTTAAATTCAAACTTCCGAATATCATACACCATCATAGACTTGCATCGCTCGGTGTCAGACATCAAGTCACGCAAATGGATCTTCTTAATGTCCGCAACATGTGCCTGGAAATGCACAAGTATGGTACATCAACACACACATCTAAAACAAATCGAAAAATACCAAAAGGTGAAAACTTGAATTTACCCTCAAATCCTTCCATGGTTCGGTTTCATAGATTAGTGAAGATGACGCCATCCACAAGGATTTCAATGCAATTTCTCAAATGAAATTATAAATTCAAGAGCCAATACAAGTTTCCAGTGTATATTGAAGAGTCCGTGAAGGTGATCGAATATAGCTCTGCAGAAAAGAAAAAGCAAGGTCGCACGTGTAAGGTAAGCGTATGCGGATCGGATATTGATGCATCTCGCCTTTGGGCGGCGATTCTTTGTTTGCCTAATCAAACGGTGTCGTAGGATTATTGAAAATCTACGTTTCAAAAAATTAAATAAAAATGTTCCATTGCCGGGAATCGAACCCGGGTCTCCTGGGTGAAAGCCAGATATCCTAACCGCTGGACGACAATGGAGCTGTGCATATCACTTGAATTGAATTTTTATTAATGTTTTGCTCAAACTCACTAAATATCTTGACCTTGAAGTTTAATCATATTGCTCTACATTTACCGTAATTATTTTAGTGTTAAAATCTTATTTACCTAACTAAGACAACCTAGTTAACATATTCTGTGAGACATCAATCGTTTAATGTAAACAAATGTATCAACATTATTCACTAAATTATTGATGGGTCTAGTTCATTTACCCACCCTGGGATAGAATTTAACATTTCAAATGTTCATAATTCAAATTCGATCCATCAATACAAGAAATACATAACAAAACTCCTCACTTGGACAGTTTTTATCTTGATGTTTTCTTGTTGTGATCACCACATTCTGATTTACAAAGAGATGCAATATCATCTCATAACGAAGCTCTACAAAAACTCGTGCAAAATCTCCATTCTGCATGAAAGCTTCAATGCTCTATTCGGATGTTCTTTTCAAAATCTAATCGTGTTGATTAAGTTTCTGTCTTTTTTGAACTCGGCGGCCTCATTCTTCATAGTTACATGGTAAATCTTCGAAAACTTTTACTGTTGTTGTTAAGGGACTGCATCTAAGGTAATTGGACTTGCAAGAATTGTGATTTCAGCACATTTAGCAATAGAAAGTGAAATACAATGCCATGTTCAATCAAGTACGATGTATCAAAGTTGTTAGCTCTTGGGATGGATTGTGAGTCCACCACAACTATTATTTTAGGTACTGATGTGCTCCTGAGATGATAGTTTTTGCACAACAAAGTAAAAAGTCACATTGTTTAGTCTATTGTCAGATCTACCGAATAATCCAGATTAGCTTTTGATCCTTACCAACCACATTAAGGGAAAAAGATGCCATTGGCATTATTTGCAAACAGAAAAATCATACCAATTCCTTCTCGAACAGACAAATTGGGCCACATTACACCCTTCAAGTTCATGAGAAGTACATCCCCTAGATAGAGGTGGGTTGGTTGGTGTATAGATGTAGCAGAGTTCTTCTTCTTCCAAAGTCTTCTGAAGAACAACTCTTGAAGTGATGAATCCAAAGTGTATTCCACAATGTGTGGATGTCTTACATTGGCAACTTCCTTGAAGGCACTTGAGCTTTCATCTGTATTCATGTCATTAAGCGTAACTAAATGGCCGTGGGTAAAGAATCTGAATGAGATGATATAGGTGCTTATCAGGTGATATTGCTACACTTATCTTCTTGGAGGCAGAATATATGTAGCTTATATGTGGCATGTTCTTAATTAACCATTCCGTTATACTAAGTAAGGAGACTCCTAACCAAAACGACGTGAAAATGCCAATTAAGAAGATGAAGATGATCGAAAGTGATGAACCCTAGGCCTGCTGGTTAACCAATCAATTAGAATCACAAGAAGTTGAAATATAAATTCAGTTGTTTATAGTACTTTTAACCTCAATAGTAGTTTTAAGGCTTTCAAATGCACAGAGTATATAATCTTTCATAGTTTCAAATCTAAGTTGGCAGCGAAAACATTATAGATTGGAGAGAAGAAATCCTTAACGTGAATAAAACTTCAAATGATGTAGAATGTAACAGAACAGTTGTTGGAAACGAGATGACGCTGCAAACAAAAATCCCCAAATTTTAGTGCATAAGAAAAACTAATTCTCTGTCAATACTTCAACTCATCTGCTATTCTAGATGAGAGAACTTATGCATCAACCAGGGCCATGCCTTGAACATTGAAGCAAAACAAAAAGCTCGATTGCACCATTCTGTTAAGGTTGTATCCTTTCACGGAAGTGGGGATCAAAATCAATTCAACTTTTTCATACTAAAAAATAACGTGCAGGGAAAAAATGCGTAGGAACAAGCAAATGGACTTTTTATAGAGAAATTTTCAGAATTGGCAAAATCATCTTCTTTTTTCTTCTATTAACCCTCACATACAAGCAATTCTAGTAGATTTATTCTGAGTATTGTTAATATGTTTTGGGCTGCCTCACTATACTATTGCTGTTGGGCCGCTGGTGCAGTTGGGCCTGTATGTTTTGGGGCCTGGCCTTCTTGGTTCTTTCGGCCTTACACATGGCTGATTATCCACCATTGGATTATAACTGTTTAACTTATTTGATTACTTGGCTCTTGGGCATCTTGGGCATTGGTTCTAGATACTTTGACTCTCTCTCGTCTCTCTGGTTCCTTTTCTCTGAGTGTAGATTAGGGTTCCTTCTGTGATTCGTTCATTGTAATCTTGCTTTGTGTTCTGGTCAATCATTCTTAGTGAAGTCTGTACTATAGTGNCTTCTGGGGTGCCTTGGGATGATTCATTCGAGATCATTCGTCTCTCTCTCTGGACTCTCTGTTTCCCCTTTTCTCTGAGTGTAGATTAGGGTTTCTTCTGTGATTCGTTCACTGTAAATTGCTTTGTGTTCTGATCAATCGTTCTTGGTGAAGTCTGTACTGTAGTGTATGGATTAAGGTTGAGTTCTTAGTGATTGTAGAGTCTGTAATAGTTGAGGCTAGATTGATACGAAGAAACCTTCGGTTTCTTCGAACATTTGTACCTTTTCTTGGTTGATACTTAGTGGATCTAGAGCTATATCCTCAGTGGATGCTCAACGGGTGAGTAGGTCTTTGTGATCGAATATTCGGACTCTACGGGGTGAAAAATCGTGTGTTCAAGTCTTGTTTTACAATTCTGCACTTATATTTTTGGTTTGTGATCTTCGATCCTTTTAAATCTGTTGATTTGGGACCTAACAAGTATCAAGAGATCACTGAAGGACTTGTAAACCCTCACATACAAAAGGATCATATTTATCCATATATTTATAATTTATTAATAAATGCCAAAAAATTCCTCAACGAACAGTATTTTTTCTTATTATCATTAGATATGTGACCTCTCTGCCGGACGTATGACGGGGCGGAGCAGCCACCGGAGGAGGTGGAGGTGCGGGGTGCTAGTGGTTTGGTCTCTCTGATGTTTGCCACTGGTAATAGAAGCTCCACATCTCTGTCCCTTTCTCTTGCTGCCATTTTCTTCTTTTATCCTATTGTTTATTTTATTTTAATTTACTTCATATTATTCAAAGTTATGTGTTTTGGAGGCAATAAATAACGAACAATGCCTCAAAATCAGTCAAATCCGTTGCGCTACTCTGAACTCTTTAACTGAAATTCAGGCCCCTTTCCTATGACGTCTTTTGCTTTGTACAATAATAATAATAATTATTATAATTATAATTATTATTGTAATTGTAATTCTTCCATAATGAAGAGACCACCTTATTTTGTAATTCTCACGTAGTCGATTCCTAATTTGATAGATTGAGAAGGTTATGCTTAGATAACGGTAAGATTTCATTTATATATTCTATGATCAGTCTCAAGTTCAAGTAAACGAAAAAGGCGATAGTAAATTGATAGTCAGTATAAAACTTTGTCACATCTTATAACATGGATTTTAAATAACACAGTCGAACTCTTCTTCCCACGGTCCCACCACGAAATAAAAGTAACACACCAAAAAAGTTCGTATGCAATGCTTGTCATTGCCATCTTCTATATGTAGATTTTTTTTCATAATAGGTCCTTTACTTGCATGCAAGTTGTACAACATATACAAGTGTCATGTCTTAGAATATAATTTTGGTATCCCTTTGGACAAAAAGAAAAAAACTTGGTTCATGTTCTTGAAATCTCAACAAGCAATACAAAGTACAAGCCTTGTGGAGGCATAATCCCTTTACATAAAGCAAGGAGTGGAAATGACAAGTTAATGTTTTGTTCAAACGTCACTAAATATCTTGACCTTGAAGTTTAATCATATTACTCTACATTTACCGTAATTATTTTAGTGTTAAAATCTTCTTTACCTAACTAAGACAACCTAGTTAACATATTCTGTGAGACATCAATCATTTAATGTAAACAAATGTATCAACATTATTAATCACTAAATTATTGATGGGTCTAGTTCATTTACCCACCCCGGGATAGAATTTAACATTTCAACTGTTCATAAGTCATATTCGATCCATCAATACAAGAAATACATAGCAAAACTCCTCACTTGGACAGTTTTTATCTTGATGATTTCTTCCTGTGATCACCACATTCTTACTGTTGTTGTTAAGGGACTGCATCTAAGGTAATTGGACCTGCAAGAATTGTGATTTCAACACATCTTGCAATAGAAAGTGAAATACAATGCCATGTTCAATCAAGTACCATGTATCAAAGTTGTTAGCTCTTGGGATGGATTGTGAGTCCACGGTCCCCCCACAACCATTATTTTAGGTACTGATGTGCTTCCGAGATGATAATTTCTGCACAACAAAGTAAAAAGTCACATTGTTTAGTCTATTGTCAGATCTACCGAATAATCCAAATTAGCTTTTGATCCTTACCAACCACATTAAGGGAAAAAGATGCCATGACATTATTTGCAAACAGAAAAATCATACCAATTCCTTCTCGAACAGACAAGTTGGGCCACATTACACCCTTCAAGTTCATGAGAAGTACATCCCCTAGATAGAGGTGGTTGGTTGGTGTACAGATGCAGCAGAGTTCTTCTTCTTCCAAAGTCTTATGAAGAACAACTGTTCAAGTGATGAAGCCAAAGTGTATTCCACAATATGTGGATGTCTTACAATGGCGACTTCCTTGGAAGGCACTTGAGCTCTCATCTGTATTCATGTCATTAAGCGTAAATAAATGGTTGTGGGTAGAGAACTTATGCATCAACCAGGGCAATGCCTTGAACATTGAAGCAAAACAAAAGGCTTGATTGCACCATTCAGTTAAGGCTGTATCCTTTCACGGAAGTGGGGAACAAAATCAATTCAACTTTTTCGTACTAAAAAATAACGTGCAGGGAAAAAATGCGTAGGAGCAGGCAAATGGACTTTTTATAGTGAAATTTTCAGAATTGGCAAAATCATCTTCTTCTTTTCTTCTATTAACCCTCACATACAAGCAATTCTAGTAGATTTATTCTGAGTATCAAGAGATCACTGATGCACTTGTAAACCCTCACATACAAAAGGATCATATTTATCCATATATTTATAATTTATTAATAAATGCCATCAACAAACAGTATTTTTTCTTATTCTCAATAGATATGTGACCTCTTTGCCGGACGTATGACGGGGCGGAGCAGCCACCGGAGGAGGTGGAGGTGCTAGTGGTTCGGTTTCTCCGATGTTTGCCACTGGTAATAGAATCTCTGTCCCTTTCTCTTGCTGCCATTTTTTTTTTTTTTTTACTTCATGTTATTCCGAGTTATGTGTTTTGGAGGCAATAATAACGAACAATGCCTCAAAATCAGTCAAATCCGTTGAGCTACTCTGAACTCTTTAACTGAAATGCAGGCCCCTTTCCTACGACGTCTATTGTTTCGTATAATAATAATAATAATAATAATTATTATTATTATTATTTTTGTAACCTTCTTATTTTGTAATTCGCACGTAGTCGATTCCAATTTGATAAATTGAGAAGGTTATGCTTAGATAACGGTAAGATTTCATTTATATATTCTATAATCAGTCTCAAGTTTAAGTAAACGAAAAAGACGGTAGTAAATTGATAGTCAGTATAAAACTTTGTCACATCTTGTAACATGAATTTTAAATAACATAGTCGAACTCTTCTTCCCACCACGAAATAAAAGTAACACACCAAAAAAGTTCGTATGCAATGCTTGTCATTGCCATCTCCTATATATTGCTTTTTTTTCATAATAGGTCCTTTACTTGCATGCAAGTTGTACAACATGTACAAGTGTCATGTCTTAGAATATAATTTTGGTATCCCTTTGGACAAAAGGAAAAAAACTTTGTTCGTGTTCTTGAAATCTCAACAAGCAATACAAAGTACAAGCCTCGCGGAGGCATAATCCCTTTACTTAAAGCAAGGAGTGGAAATGACAAGATTCCTTTTCCATACATTAGTATTTGCATCAGATTCTCTGATGAGTGATCTATTCCTCTCACACATAATATACTAAAATCCACTTGCTAAAATAATCGAACCTTCGAATGTTTATCAATACTACAAAGTTATTCGAACTAATTGAAGATATTCGTCTTCTCTTAGGTGCTTCCACTCGGGTACTTGCACTTATTGTAACCTACAAAAACAAATTTGGAGAAATCAATTAGAACACATGGTTACGATGTTGGAGTTTATTGGTGGTAATCTTGTCTGAGATAATAAAGGAATAGTCAAAATAAACCTTAAACAAACATCGTTTGTATTCCTAATTGTAATCTGCAGAGAGTTGTAATTGGAGTTTCATTCCATGTAATAATGTAAACAAGTAATTAGCTTAATTTGAGGAAAGACTTACTAGGATTGGTCGACGTGAGAGTGGCAGTATGTGAGAAATCACAATTCCATGGATTTCTGCCTTCTGTTTGATATAGGAGATTCATAGCATAAGTAGCATGCGAAACCACCGTGTTTGGTTCAAAACAAGCTCCTCCAGGCTGAATTGCACTGCAATCACTGCCTTTTCCACACACGTAATCTAAATTGGCTTGTAACTGGGCATCTGATACACCAGCTTTTGGCACACACCAGGTTCCCTTCTCTGCTTTTGGTGTCGGGCTCGCTGATGTTTTTGGTTTCGAAGGAGTCTTTGATGAAAAGTAACCCGTTTAAGTCAGAAAACTCATGGATAAATGCACCAAACACAAATGAGGAAAGAGGAGAAAGCATTCTTGATTCTCCTTTTCAGAACCAACACATTCTCTATGGGATAAACTCAACCTCAAGGTTTTAGGATTCTGTCTAAACTAAGACATAAAGGGACAGTATTTAACCGTGAGGAGCCAGAAGGAACCTCATTGTTAAGAAAGGAGATAAAATAAAAGATGGATATTAGTTGCGGTTCTAGTATCCAATACAAATAGTTCTCGCTTCTTGACATGATTATATTTTTCTCGACAGGAAAAAATATTAATTTAGAATGAACTAACCTGGCTAGTCTTTGACAGTCCAGCATCATAAGTCATTGTTAAATCAGGTTTAAAAAGCCCAAATGACCTCTCAGAACTTGGTCCAGGCTTCAAGTCTTCATCATATAGTGCAAAAAGGTATGTATCCACTGATTTCCCGGGCATCAATGGAGTTCCGACCATGGATCTCAAGTGTGCAACCAAATTGCCAGTGTAAGCCTTGGCATTCTCAATACTCGGGCCAACCTCGTTGCTATCCCCCTTGTATGGCCAACCAGTCTCGGCAACTACAATTTCAACACCCCCAAACCCGATAGAGTTCAATGCAGATCTAACAGCATCCAACTGCAAACATTCGATTAAGAACCAAAAATATTCAAAATCTTCAAAGATCCCTTCATACAGATAGACATAAACACCCAATGAAAGCTGTCATTTTCATAGATTAATATAATATCATAACTCCAATGTCCATAAAACTTGAGTATGCTGCAACTCTAAATAATTTACCTGAGCATCAAACATGTTAGTATACTTGATCTTGGTGCCTGAATCGACACGACCTGAGTTGGGCTGGAACAAACAGAAGGCCAGAGTTTCTGGTCTCGGATCACTCTGATATGCGAAATATGGATAAGGATTGATGGAGAAAGGTGAACCAGTTGCTTTATTAAACCCTAACAACCCCTTCAACAAATCCAGATTGCTAGTATCAAAGCTCCCGGAGGATGGAGGTTCTGACTGTCTCAATAAAGCCATGGAGTGGACCGTTGAAACCTTAATTTTGCCGCCCAAATTGGCCGAATCAAGGGCATTTTGCAGATTCTGCATCGCCGGTAACAACTGGGACATCAAATTCGGGTCACCGGACATCATCACCTCATTCCCAACGTTGATTACGTTAATTTTGCTTGCGGGATAGAACGGAATTACGTTACTGTTAATCCAGTTTTTAGCGAAATTCGGCTCGGACGCCATTCCGGGTATGTCTCCGCTGGATACTCCGATCATGATTTCGATTCCGGTGTTTGCTAATGCCTTGATCATTGCCGGGTCGGCTCCGTACAATCGGACCTTCTCAATTGCCGTTGATTGCAACAACTTTGCAGTCGCCTCCGGCGACGGGAGGTTGTCGGCTACTTGGCCGTAATTTATTCCGATGAACGACTCCGGCTCTAGCAAAACAACACAAACAGTTAAATTTCAAACTTCACAACATACATTTTAATATCTGTATAAAAATTCTAAAATATTCATTTCAATTTGCATAATTTTTTTAAATTTTGAAGGCTTACTGGCGAGTCCAGTGAAAGTGACGAGGATAAGAAAGAGTAGAGAGAAAGTGTTAAACAGGGACGCCATTGATGAAGATTGTGTTATTTCAAGTTCCTTTTTTTATTTCTGAAGATGATAAGGCAAGCAAAGAAGCAAATATAGGAGGAGGGAAGGGAGAAAAGGAGGGCAAAACTGGGAAGTATGCAACTTTCAGTCGGCCAAAAAAAGCTTCAAGTACATGCAATGTACAGAGAGACAACGTGGGACTGTTAATTCAACCGTACACGCTTCGGCCATTAAAATCCAGGGAAAGGTGAAGCGTGCACGTGAGACGGCCACCGGTTTATAAGGATGGTAAAATATTTCATTCGATTCCTGCTTGATTGAGACGGAAAGCATGATTCTTATAATTTCAATATTTGTTAACCAAGAATTATGCTGCTCTGTCATGCCTAGAGCCGAGCCTCTCACAGGAGGTGGGTCCAGCTCATTATAAAATCACCCCAAAAATACCCACCCCACCCCTGTGTATGTGTACGGTAGGGGTTCACACTGAACCCCTACTTGTACACCAAGGCCGGTCCTTGTTACCAGTCAACCACCAATTTTTATCGCACACGACTTCTATAAACTTTTCAATTTCACATTTCATCAAATTTATCAAATTTTGCCAAAGCTTTGTCAAACAACACCGTGCAAAATGATTTCTTTGAAAAATCATAATTATAAATTAAGAAAAATGTATCGATCCAAATCGTACCAAACTATCGTTTAGTAATTTGAACTGAATCGTGATAACAAATAAATATCTTCCTTGACTTTTTTTTTGTTGGGGTCCCGATAAGCAATACGTCTTCAACCTCCTTATGGGTTAAGAAATCACTTTTGCTCTTAAAAACGTGACAACATTCCAGCTTGTGGTCTAAAAAGTGTACAATACAAACATACAAAAGAGACTTGAATTTTAGCACTAAGGAAAGTAGAGCTTGGCCTTCACAGAATAATGTTGGCTTTAGGAAATTCTGGCAGAAAGGAGAAACCCACGTTTGGACAGTATAATTCGATCACAAGTAATCTCCAAAACAACGTTTCAAGGTAAGCATTTAAAACTTTGGATATTCCTATGTTTAATCAATGTGTATTCAACCTTTACATTTGGTAGGGATTAAAATCACCATTCTAATCCAAGTCAAAATCAATAATAAATTTTAATAACATATTTCATGGGATCCATCACTTTTTAACTATATTTATCATTAATTTTTATCAAAATCTAGTAAAAATCTGATTTTAATCACTACCAAATAAGGACTTGCCCGTGTTTAACTGATTTTAGCCCTCTTTGATTAAGCTAAAACATTGACTAAAAATCTAATTTATAGACAATAATTAATGTTGACAATATATTTAATGAGATTTATAATTTTTATCAATTTTTCAATCATATATTCCATCAATTTTTATCAAAATCCAAGGAATATTTAATTTTTAGTAAAATCAAACAGTGGCTTAACATTAAAATTATGTTAAATCAATAAGAAAAATTGCAGTAATGAGTCTCGACCTATTATTACAATAATAAGATGTTCATAAATCTTTAGAAAGAAATAAGATGATTTTCAACATCTCATTAGCGTGATAGACTTGACCACATTGACAAAAAATGGTTTAAATTCGCTACAATCAAACTGAGTTTTTGAAAAATAAAATTTTGGTGATTTTGGTTCTTATGAACAATGTGTTATAGGAAAACAAGTTAAACTGTATTTTTCAACTGGAATTCATAAATCCAAACAACTATTAGAATATTTATATGATGATTTGTGGAGTCCTATACTGTGTGCACTTTATCTTGTTTCAAATATTTTTTATTGATCACTGATGATTTTTCAAGGAAAATTTAAGTCTTCTTATTAAAAAAATAAAGATGAAAATTTCTTTATTTTTAAAGACTAGAAAGCTTAAATTGAAAATCAAATTCATCACAAGATAAAGATTTTGAGAACTGACAATGGTTTGGAATTTTGTAATCATGAATTCAATAATTTTTGTAAAGAATATGGTATTTTGAGGCATAAAACTGTCACCCATACTCCTCAACAAAATGGAATAGCTAAAAGAATGAATATGACTTCATTGAACAAAGTTAGATGCGTGCTTTTGAGTTCTGGTTTGCCTAAATTGTTTTGAGGTGAAGCTGTTAAAATTGTTGCATAGCTTGTTAATAGAAGTCCTAATAAGCTTTAAATTCTGAAGTACCTGAATCTGTTTGTTCTGATGGTTCTGTGAATTATTCTCATTTAAAAGTGTTTAGTTGTGTTGCATACGCTCATTAAAATATTGAAAAATTAAAACATAGATCAATTAAATGTGTTATCTTGAGTTATGAAAAAAAGTTAATGGCTACAGATTATGGGTTAAATGTGAAAAAGGAGTATAGAATCATTGTTAAAAAAGATGTCGTTTTCAATTAATCTTTAATGCCATGTTTAGAAGGAAAAGAAAATGTTTTGACTGATAAAGATGTTCAAATTGAGCAAGAGACTCATGTACCTGTAGTAGATGAAACTGGTGTTGAACCCAAAATTGAAAATGATCAAGAAATTGATCAAACTGTCCAATCTGATTCTACTAGTCTCCCTTTTGATGAGTATCAACTCACAAGAGATAGGGAGAGGAGGCAGATGAGGCCTTCTACTAGATTTCACAGTGATGATTTTGTTTGTTTTTTCACCTATCAAGAACCGTTTGAAAATGAGTCAAACTCTTATGATGATGCCATTAAGTGTAAAGAAAGTAAAAATTGGAAAGCCATGAAAGATGAAATGTATTCACTTTTAAAAAACAAAACTTAGGAACTTGTCAAAAGGCCGAAAGGGCAGAAACTAATTGACTATAAATGGATCTATAAAGTAAAACAATGGGAAGTAGATGGTAAAAACATTAGATACAAATGTAGACTTGTTGCAAAAGGTTTTACTTGAAAAGAAGGGGTTGATTACACTAAAAAATTTTCTCATGTTGTGAAATATACTACTGTTAGATGCTTTCTTGCTCTTGTTGCTCAATTTAAATGAGAATTTGATCAATTTGATGTTAAAACTGCTTTATTGTGTGGTGATTTAGATAAAATAATTTACATGAAGCAGCATGTTGGTTTTGAAATTGGAGATCCTGAAAAAACTGTTTTCTATTAAAAAGATTTTTATATGATTTAAAACAAATTCCTAGACAATGGTATAAGAGATTTGATACATTTGTTCTAAAACTTGGTTTTAAAAGAAGTTAGTATGATACTTGTCTATACTGTAAAGGTGATGGAGGTAAAAATTCTATGTATCTAGTTCTCTATGTGGGTGATAAGTTGTTTGCCAGTTGTGATAAAATTGAAGTCTGAATTTGAAATGAAGGATCTTGGTTCTGTTAAAAGGATATTAGGCATGTAGATTTGGAGAAATAAAGAGAAAAACTTGTTATTTTTGAATCAACGTGATCATGTGATTAAAGTTTTGAAAAAATTTAACATGCAAGACTGTAAACCTGTAACATTACCTTTTGCTAATCATTTTAAGCTATCTTCTCAATAGTGTCCAAAGACTGAAGAAGAAAACGTTAGAATGTGTAAAGTTTCTTAGCTAATACTATTGATCTGTTATGTATTTGATTATTTGTACCAGACCTGATATTCCATATATGGTGTGTTTGAGCCACATTATTTTGGAAGAATGTATTCTGAAATAGTAGATTGATGGAGAATTTGTGGTTGAAAAAGAAGGAAAAGTTATTGATGTGATGTATAATTTTATTTTATTGAAGAATGTATGATTGAAAATGAGTAGAAGAATGAGAATGAAAATTTTAATGTGTACCAAACAGGGGCTTAGTATAAGCATATTTAGCAAATTTATAAGTAACCTTGAGGAAGAACATTGGAATGCTTTAAAATGGTTATTAAGATATCTTAAAGACATACCTAACTTAGGTTTAATGTTTAAATCAAGTAAAAATGATATAACTTTAAAAGGATATACCGATTCTTATTTTGTTGGAGATAGAGATAATATGAGATCAACTTCATCATATTTTTATACTTTATGTGGTACAACTGTTAGCTAGACATCACAACTTCAAAAAGTTGTTGCTTCATCTTCTAAAGAAGCTGAATATATTGCTACTACTGATGTTGTTAAAGAGGGAACGTGGTTAAATGATTTATTGTCTGCACTTGGTTTTGCTGACAATCATGCTATGTTGCTATCTGATACTCAAAGTGCTATCAATTTGAGCAAAAATCATATGTTTCATGATAGAAATATTGATATTAAATATCATTTTATAAGAGACATCATTTCAAAAGGAATTCTTAGAATTGGAAAAGTTACAACTCAACTTAATCCATCAGATATGGGTACAAAAGTGATTCATTTGAATAAGTTTGTAAATTGTTTAAAACTTTTATCTGTTGATTCCTTGTAATGCATGTACAGCTACTTAGAGCAAATGAAAAGTGATTGAGATTATGCTCAGGCCTACACTATACTCCCAAATTCTGGTAGCAATGTGGAGAATGTGGGATTCGAACCCTGGTCCGAATGGTGCTCTTATAATTTGTATTTAAGTCATGTTTTGGGTGTTGCAACTTCATTAAAATTGCACATTTAACTGGATTGAGACACATGGTTGCATTTGGGCCGTTGGATCTGTTTCTGGAGACTTCTAATTTTTGTGCCTTTTCATTTGGCATTCAGTCTAGGGTTTTCATTATTCTCTCTCGTTTTTGCGCCGTTTGAAGGGGTTCTCTGGTTTTGGTTCTTTCTTCTATTTATTCTCTCAAATTCCTGATTTGAGATAGTCGATCTGTAATATTTAGCCTCTGTGTAGTGATATTTTGAGTGAATATCTGTAAGAGAGTTTGCGTTCTCTCAAGTTACTGTTTCAGAGGATTTGAAAAGATTCTTTGTGAATCTTGTGGATCGATTGTCGTATTTAGAGAGATAAGTTTCAGTTCTGTACTCTATGATTTGGCTGAATATTTTGTAACCTTTGTTGCTATTTTGGGCTATATAGTGGAAACGAGCACAAATCCA